ACTCCTGCAGCGCTTGATATAAATAATCTGGAATGAAGTTCAAAGGTAATGCTAATGCATATCTAGAATCAGTAAAGATGATCATTCTATTTCACAAAATTATATTCCTGTCATTCCCTTTCTTTCTAACCTAGATTAACTGCTATAAAACCTTTGGCTGCCATTCCTCATCCCTTGTCTCCCAGCATCTTTGCCAGTTTTCTGCATTCTTTTCTGTCCCCAACCTTGTGCCTTTGTCCCCCTGTTCCATTACTCCGCCCTCCATCTCTCCACGCTGTTTTCATGCTGCCATAGTATGGAGGAGGATAAAGCAGCAGCGCTGGAGAATGTCTACCTTCTAGCTGCATATATCAAAACTAAGATCAAAATAGCTCTGGGTCACCCACTCCCACTGACAAAGGCTCTTATGTGATTGCATCAAAATGAAGCCAAAGGTGTATGCACACATTCAGTATTATTTTGTTCAATTATGGAAGAACTTTTGGGTCTTCCTAAGTAAAGTTCTGAAGAAACACAGATGACTTCTGTTTCTCTTCTCTAGTAGCCAAGGAAGTATGCCACTGGCTTGTCTAGCCAGAGGAGCTTGCCCTTTAGTTGGAAGAAATTGCTATAGTAATCTTCCAGAGCTGATGTAACATTAAGAATGCCTCAGAAGCAGCTCCTCCACTGGTGGACACCAATCATCTCAGCTTAGTGGACTTCGAAGACCAGGCTATCTATGACCAGGGCAAATAACTTTTGTTCCAGAGCTCCTATTTTGCTTGGTAAAAAAAAAAAAATGTATCTGGTTTTCACCATGGCTTCATTTTCTACTCTATTCTGCTTACCTACCTTGCCTTTTATGGGTGTAGTAGTATATTTTTGTCACTGCTACTAAATGATTCAGGCTACATAATGTTCTAAAGAAAATAAGTTTATTTAACTCACAGTTCTGGAGAGTTAAGGATTTGCATTTTGTGATAACATTCTGGCCAATAATTTTCCCAGGTTGTGAAGGGTGTCACAAGCCAAGAGACAGGTATACACACTGTCAATTCTAGATCTTCTGGTCAGTCCTCTTAAATAATGCGTTTAGTAAGCATTCTACCTGATGACTTTACCTAACCCTGTCCCCTCCCATCGATTCTTCCTCATAGTCACACAAAGTTTCTACCTTTTCAAGATTTCTTATTGAAAACGAAGTTTCAAAACAAGCAACCTGGAGACACAATCACAGCATGTTCAAGCCAGAGCACAGGTATGGGATCTGCACCATGGCTGAAGCTTCTGCCTCCTCTGTCCCTTACCTTTCATCTTCAAAGTCCTTACATCCTAAGCAAACCGTTGCCCTAAGTTTCACCCTCTTCTTCACAAACCAAACTGATACAACCTGTCTACATCTTTAAAATTTCTATATTACAAAATAATTATTATTCATTATTGGGTAATGGTTTCTAATTTCTATCTTTTCTATAAATACTGACACTAGCAGCTTTCATTTTCAAAATACTCCGTATTTTCTGTATGAGCACATTAATAAGCTTCTATGGTGTGGTACATTTGTTACTTGTCTTGATGCTGCACTCAATTACCTGACAAAAGCTATTTTGGGAAGGAAAGATCTAGTTTGGCTTGCAGTTCTTTGGGGCAGTCCACCATAGTCAGGAAGTCATGGTAGGAGCATGAGGTTGCTGGCCACCTTGGATCCGTATTCAGAAAGTCCAGAACGTTGAACACTCTTTCCTTTTTCTCCTTATTCAGTCTAGGGCCTCGCCTGTAGACTGTCACAGCCTATATGTAATGTTGACTATATAACCTCAATTACCCTAATTTAGATATCCCTTCATAGAGATGATCAGAGACTAACTTATTATCTCTCACTGGCATGTGTAGAGATTTTCTTCTAGGTAATTGACAATCACATATGGTTAAGCATTATATCTTATTTTTTCAGATTATATACAAATCTCATCTCTAATTTTCAAATAAATTTTGTTTTTGTTTTCTGAGGTCTAAAATAGTTTATAATGATATTATCTGATGATGAACAAAATGTGATTTTGGTAAGATGGAAGCTGGAAGAGTCCTATTTGCTGGAAAAGTTCCTGAAGAGACTTGTTCTGACTGCTAGTAAAGTAATCCTCTTCATTTAATATTTACCACATACATAGAACATTGTTATTGTTACAGATACTATAGTTAATGTATCTTATTGGCATGATGTCTCCTCATTCCTCACCTGCACAACTTTGGTCTAATGATAGATACATAGTACACATACTTTCATTGTTTGGTGTATGGAAGTAGCATAATCCTTGTGCGTATTCTGATACCTGTAAGTCCATCAGTGCTCTTGCAGGGCAATCCTTGGAAATACTGACATGGGTAGGGCTTTTTTTTTTTTTTTTTTACTTTATATCTTCTATTTATACATATATACCTGTATATCTTGTAAAACAAACATTTACCTTATTAAACAGACTGACTTCCAGAAGACTCTTTAAAAATCCTTATTCTTTTATAGAACAGAGTACTCCATGGCACATCTCTGTGGTAAAGAGAAGGTTTTAGTGAGGAAAGCCTTGCTAATAAATGGCCTCCCAGTGGCAATGGATTATTGCCTTTCTCTGAACCCTTAGGTAGAGGCCAGGTTGGAGCCAAGATTAAAGGCTTCCTGAGTCATCTGCCATGGTCTGGCAAGGCCTCTGTTCTCAAGTCTGTGCAATCAAATCTCAAACTGATTTCTCTTTTTGGTTTTCTTCTTCTTCTTTTTTTGGCAAGAGAGAAAATAACTTCTGTATTCTTTTTTAGGAGAGTGAGAAAAAGGAATATCATTCTATTTCTCAAAATTGCATATAGAATTTCAAAAAGTGACCTCTTCCCAGATGTAGCAAAAACCTATATTGGCAATGGGAGCATATAGTCTTTTGAGGATGAAAGCTTTAGAATTCCTGCCTTGCCACGTCTTCATTATTTCTTTGGAAAGGATTTGGAAAAGAAAATCACCTATAAAATAATATAAAACAAGTTTCCCTTTTGAGTAATTAATAACTCTGGCAAGCTGGCAAGCCAGCTGTCTCATGGTGTGTCACAGTCACAGACCATGAATGAGGAGACCCACTCCAGGTGCCCTGGGATGCTCAAAGCCTGGCTTTTGTCACAGTTGGCCGATTAAGTCATTTTTAGAATTTGGACTTCTCAGGGGCAGAGGTTTTATCTTTTATATTAGGTATGTTCTTTTCCTCACACTGTTCTGTTACATAATAGGATAACTGCATGTTCAAAGTCATGCTTTTTTAGTATAAAATACAAAATCATATCCTTCACTTTTGAAGTAACAGTTATTCATGATATTACTTATTTTGGACACAGCAAATAAGACATTGCCAAAAGTACTCTCTAGGCAGAATAAATATGTAGCTGGGCCTTATCTGAGTTTGCTGTTAAATATAGCTTTGTTCTATCCCTCTGAACTCCAGGTTAGTTCACTTGTGATCTACCACCTTATCTTGAAAGGCTAGACTCCAAATTATTATTCATTTTGTAATTATCTTCTTTTCCAGATTTTTCTGGCCATTGTGACCTGGTCTGAAACTGCGTGCCTCTCTCACATTTTGACCCAGTCTGCACAGAGTGTTTTCCTTCAGTCCATCCAACAGCACCGGATTCAGTGGCCTTCTGTCATCTGTTCTTCACACATTCGCCTGGCCTCAGCACCATGGGGCTGGCTGTCCTCCAGAACCTCATCCTGGAAGCAGCTGTCCTCACAAGGAGAGAGAAGCTTGGTTCATCTGTAAATATTTTCAAGGAGTGGGACTCAATGTCACAATGGGGTCAAAGCTGCAGTGTCACATAAAGTGTGACACGATGCCATTCTGAAAAATATTTAACATACCTGGAAGTATTAGTACTGTGTTTCTAAAATGATAGGAACCTGAAAGGGGGCCAGTGTATATTCAATCCCTGCCCCCCCCCCCCCCCCCCCCCCCCCCCCCCCCGTCTTTCTAGCCAGGTACTACAAATACAACCTGAAGATACAAGTATGTAGCCCGGAGCATTTCAATAAGCTCCTTGTAAAGCTTGGTTCTTTAGAACTCTCTTAAGTCCTTTATGTATACAAGGCTAGGATGTATCCCTGGAGTACAGAGAGTATCAAAATATTATCAGATATGTGCTCAGAGGGCTTGCCTTCCACTTGGACAATTTGGGTGAATTTCAGTATCAACACAGGCTAGAATGTTCAACATGTCATAATGAAAATCTAAGAAAATGGGCACATAGGGAAAGGATGGATTGTTGTCAGTAGGAGGATTTGGGAAAGTGTTATGCAACTGAAATAAAATGTGGAGAAATTCTATTACTGCCTTGTATGCTAGTGTCTAGGATGTGGATTTCAGAATAAGAGGGAAAAGATAATGTAAGTAATAAGAAATAGGTGAGTTAATATGAAGAGTTAATGAAGTTAATATAGAGCACATTCTGTGGAATAGAGTTGATTGGAGAAAAACCCAATTCTGAAGAGGATGTAGAAAATAATTTGATAGGCTAACCTACACCATTTTGGAGATCTTAACATCAATGAGAAACAAGGCCTATGGAAAAGAGGGTCCCAAGATCTGTAAACCACTCCTGGAGTAGAAAACCACTCCTCTAACCATGCTGGCAGGGGGTGGTAGCCCACTAAGGTTCTGGGGACACATTGGTTGGATTAAAATTTCCGTGTCTACTTTTCTGTATGTGGTAGTCAACGACAATTCACCCTTTCTAAACCCAGTGTGCTCTTTTGTAAAAGGAGATGATTAGACTAGACCAAGTCTTTTTAAACTTTCAACTGGGACTCTAAGTGTATAAAATATGCATACAAATCAAACAGGATTAATAATAAATAATAAATTTATCTAAAAATATTTTTTTGGTATACATAAATGTTTACCACTTATTAAAGACCAAAGCAAATTTGCAAACAAATGGAATGCTTGTGCTTATTTTATGTATTACATCTTGGCTGAACATTTGACATCACAGCATGTGGGACAAATGCAACATTCTTTTCAGAGTGGATTGATATTTTGACTTTATAATTGTCCATGTTGAGAATGACACTTTTCATGTGCATGTAGTACAAAATGGCAGAAATAAAAATGCTTAGCATTATTTCAGAAATGGTTAGGTTCTTCACAACTCCCAAACAAAAATTAATTTAAGGATTATCAAGATGAGATTCAATAAGGTAACTCAAACAAAAAATTAAAACCAGTCTTTCTAAATCAATAAAATTCATAGTTATATTGCTCTAATACTTACTGGAGAATGGCAATAGGAATATATTAAATTTTTTTTATTAAACCATTATGTTTCTGTAAGATCCCCACTGTGTAGGCATTGATGGTCTGGAGATTGCCTCACTCACAGAGATCTGCCTGCCTCTGTCTACTAAGTGCTGGGATTAAAGGCGTGCTCCATCATGCTTGACTGAATTGAGGTCCTAAATAGAGGTTAATGGTGTTGTATTAAAGAAAGTGGAAGAATCATTCCAAACATAGCAAACAAAGATCCAAAGGACTGATAGAATATAAACTTTTAAAGTAACAAGCTCAAGAAATATTATTTTTTCCATTTAAATCTTCTTTCGTATCAATTCAAGTGAGTGACCCCACTTAGTGATGATTAGATTCTGAGTTAGAGTTTTAGTGAACTTATATGGGGTTCCTTATGATTGGCATATGTAATAATCCAAGAAATCGTGTTTGTCAAGGAGGAGGCAAGTACTAGTCTAGTTATGAGGAACATAGTAAGGAATGAGAAAAGGAAATAAGAGTACTGACAGGGTCCTTGACCTTGTAGATCCTGTTTTATGTGATTGGCCATGGAGCAACAGAAAACAGCACTGAGAAAACTAGCTCATGAAGAAAGAACCTGGCTGATGAGACAGGTTGAGCCTGAGACAGTAAGGAAGGCTGCCCTGTAAAGGACATACTTCAGCAGAGAGCCTAGTGATATCAGGAGCCAGTAACACTTATGGGGTCGACAGGAACACTACAGGGAGAGGAAGAAGACAGTGGAAGGCCAGGGATCAGCTTCTGTCTGGGTGTGTCTCAGTAATTGAGAGCAGCGACCTGACAAGGGCATAGTAGACTGTGGAGGGGACACGGTCATACGGTCAGAGATGAGATGAGAATATATGTTAGTTCACAGCAAGACAACAATTTGAGAACTCATTCATAACCTCCTCTTCGCTTTCTTAAAACGTTGTAGCCCAGTATATCCTTCAGAGGAGAAATAAAATCGCGTTTACTTTTTTTCTTTTTTCTTTGGTTTTTGTATCATGACTGGGGAAATGGAAAACTCTCAGTTTTTTGAAGGAGGAAATTGGGGCTCAAAGATTTTTCTCTTGCTCAAGGTCACACAGCTTGCAAAAGGCACAGCTAGGATTCAAATCAGGCCTTAGGATTCCAGGACCAGAGCCTTTCATGCTCCTGGTAGTGTCACTGTCCTTATGTAATCTCCAGAGAATAAGTTGCTGACCTCTTATAAGGGACCTGGCAGGACTGTAACTGTAACTGAATGTTTTATAGTCCTCCACCCATGGCTCACAAGCCCTCCACTTTCGCCAGTAGGAAGGTTTCTGCTAGGGCACAGGAGCCAGTGCCTTCCTTCTGTGGAGAAAAGGTCTAGTGATTGTGTGTTTCTTTTGCTTAGCACTTGCTCAGCAGCTCTTTGCTTTTATAGCAAGAGTTGACTTTCTACCAACTTTGTGTATCTGGACTGAATGGAATATGGCATAAGACATTTTAAAACGAACATGAAATGTGGTGAAGAAGCTGGCATTCACTCATGGGTGCTATATCAGCTGTTTCTGCACTTTGCCCCTCCATTAAATTAACTGCCAGGCTGGGGCCATTAAAACACATCACTTTCCCCTCAATTATAGTCACACACTAACTCCAAATATTCTAAGCTTTTCTCATAGAATCCTTTTCAGAAAGGACTGGGAGTTTCCTTTCAGTGTGGCCCTTCCTTGGTGTTCCCATTGTTGGGTCTATTTTTTGTAATTTTTGGTTCTGAATATGCCTATCTGAACGCCAGATCTCTGTTGATGATGCATCCCCAAATCCTAGTATTTGCTTGAGCGAGAGCCCTCGAAATAGAGACATATTGTACTCCTCTCAGAAAGCAGCATTTGTTGCTTGCTTGGGGGCTTTCTGATTGATGCAAGGGGGCGAGGAAAGAGTTGGCCGCGGCTAGGGAGCAGATTTAGTGCGGCTTCTCATTGGAGGGGCTCGCCTTCTCTAAGCTGCCAGACACTGCAGGCTCAACCAAGGCGCGGAGGTGCAATTCAGGCTGGTGGAGCAGCGGGGGAAGGCAAGGACAGGCGGGGCTAGCGCTGCTCTGCAGCTGATCACACGCACCAGCACACACACCTCATCCTCGCTGTCTCTGCTTGAGCCTCGCATCGTCCATCCACCGGGCAACCAAAGCGTGTACATGGACTAAGAAAACCAGGAAAGGAAGACTCAAATGTTTCTATTGCGAGGCACAGGAAAAGCTGGAGCAACGCCAGGGTTTAACCTGAAAGTCTGACCTCGGTTAAGCTGCCGCTCTGTCTCCTGGAAAGAGGGCATCGCGCGCGCCAAGGAACCCCAGAGTCAGCGTCCGAGTCCGTCTCTGCTTGGAGCACCAGGGTCTTCTGGCGGAGACTGTGTAGTGTCCCCCAGGGGGTTCGGAGATTGAGGCACCTGCTTTGGATCTCACCCTGGAACAGCAGGAAAAGTAGGAAGGGGTCGGGCAGCCCTGAGAGCTTGGCCGGACGGCCTCAGCTGCTTGCCGCGCGGCTGTCTGTCCTCTGCTGCTGGGTGAGTGCCCCGGCTTCCAGCGCTCCCCGGAGCACCGGGGTGGCCTGGCGTCCCCTCCTCCCCACGAGGGTCCACACGAAGGCCCCAGTGGCGCGCGTGGAAACTCGGCCGCCCGCGCACGGCAGTCGTACAGGTCTCTGGAGTCCCAGGCGGGGGATTCTGAGCCAGCAGAGCGTGGGTAGGGGGCGTTGCACCACTGCCCAGCAGACATGCCTCTGGGCGGGATTTTGGCTAAAAGATAGGAGGCGGGAGTGACGAGGGAGCCAGGAGCACTCCCGGGGGGCGGCTGATCAGGGTGCAGCTGGGAGGGGGGAGGGTCTGGACCAAGCAGGTAGCGCAGCTTAGCAGCTTGGGGAGTTGGCAGGTAGGGTGGGACTTGCTTGTCAAACTCGTTAATTTTCAGCAGCCAGTTCAGGGTGCTGCAAGATAGTCCGGGGTAGGGTGCTGTGGAAAGGTAAGAGGTGGCCCGGGATGCCGGTGGTGGGGGTAGAAAAGGGGAGCCTCAAAGAGCTTGGAGGCAAAATTGCACTTGGGTTCTTACACCTTGCATCCCTCCTGCCTTGAGTGTGGGAGAACACTTCTGTTTTAACACTGCTCTTGGAAAGAAAGCCTCCGTCCCAGGGGAGGAGAGGCGTCTGCAGGGGCAGAGCCTGCTGCTACCTGCAGGGTGCTCCCCAACCCCCCACCCAGGCGCCTGCTTTCGTCCCCTCCCCTCCTGCCTTCGTCCCCTGCCCCCACCTCCTTATTGGTGCTGGTTTGCAGCGCTTGGCTCCTGTGCCTCCGCTTCGTGTTTGAATCTGGCTCGCCCCTCCGTATTATGTCTGCACTCCGAAGGAAATTTGGGGACGATTATCAGGTAGTGACCACTTCGTCGAGCGGCTCGGGCTTACAGCCCCAGGGGCCAGGGCAGGGCCCGCAGCAGCAGCTTGTACCCAAGAAGAAGCGGCAGCGGTTCGTGGACAAGAACGGCCGGTGCAATGTGCAGCACGGCAACCTGGGCAGCGAGACCAGTCGCTACCTCTCGGACCTCTTCACCACCCTGGTGGACCTCAAGTGGCGTTGGAACCTCTTCATCTTCATCCTCACCTACACCGTGGCCTGGCTCTTCATGGCGTCCATGTGGTGGGTGATCGCTTATACCCGGGGCGACCTGAACAAAGCCCACGTCGGCAACTACACTCCTTGTGTGGCCAATGTGTATAACTTCCCCTCTGCCTTCCTCTTCTTCATCGAGACCGAGGCCACCATCGGCTATGGCTACCGCTACATCACCGACAAGTGCCCCGAGGGCATCATCCTCTTCCTCTTCCAGTCCATCCTGGGATCCATCGTGGACGCTTTCCTCATCGGCTGCATGTTCATTAAGATGTCCCAGCCCAAGAAGCGCGCCGAGACCCTCATGTTTAGCGAGCATGCGGTGATCTCCATGAGGGACGGAAAACTCACTCTCATGTTCCGGGTGGGCAACCTGCGCAACAGCCACATGGTATCCGCGCAGATTCGCTGCAAGCTTCTCAAGGTAAGTGCAACCCTCTCCTACCCCATCAAGCATGAGCTACTCAGAAACCCAAAAAGTCAAATCCCTGGGCACCACTCTGCCCTCTCCTCGGGTTTTCCTTCCACCACAGGTAAACTTCTTTGGAGCAAGGAGGCGGTAAAGAGAGCTGGGGATTGGACAGAGGACATAGTTGCCAGTTCTGTTTTTGCCCCTACTTTGGTGCTCTGGTTTTATGCTCCTCACCTCGGATGCACTGTATCACAGGGGGTGATGGTGATGGAGAGTGCTGTGGGCTCCTGGAGCTTAGAAGGAGACAGATGCCCTGCTCTGTGCTGCAGCTTTGTCCTGTGAGCTCTTTGGGTTTGCTGTCAACTCAACACTCCCTAAACTTCAGGCACTAAAGCTTCTATTTTGAAGAATTAGGTGTTGAAGTTTCCTTAACTTTAGTTTTGGGATTCTCTTTAGTGTATCTCCCTTCCAATAATACCATCAGGTGGATTACTTTTTTTTAGGACACAGTAATTTAACTGTGGTCTTCTTTTAAACAAGCATACAGATCCAGGCAGCAGTTAGTAAAGTAGAAGACGCCATATCTGTTTCTTTAAAATTGTTATTTTTACTAAATATTTTCCTTGAGATATATTCCGTGAAAGCTTGAGTGCTTTTCCTGTGGAGTCTCTTGTTAATTTTATTCTTAATTGCCTGTTTCTATGAAGCCTTTGTCAATTATAGATTTCACTTGAAGCTTTTCAGCATCCATTAAAGAAGACTGCTTCCTAATATCGTGTTGTAAACGCTAAAACAAATTGCTCATAGTGTAGTTATTAAGGTCAGGTCTTTACAGCCCTGAGAAGGTACCATCACAAAGAAGAGTCCCTAGTTATTTATCAATTAGAGTCTGGGAGGAGGGATTAAAGTCTAGTTCTCACAGTCTACAGGTGTCACTTTTCTTTCTTTTTCTCTTTTTTCTTTCTCTTTCTTTCTTTCTTTCTTTCTTTCTTTCTTTCTTTCTTTCTTTCTTTCTTTTTTCCTTCCTTTCTTCCTTTCTGAGAGATTTTTTCCAGAGTGCTTTTAAATGTTCACAGATTTAAAAAGATAACCTCAAATGAGTAGTTCATTATTGAAAAAGAGTGATCTAAAATCATGTAAAGAAGCATAGAGAGGTTCTGAACTTAGAGGTAATGAAATGACTGATATCTAAGTTGAGGGAAAATTTTGTCTTTGAAATTTCAGTTTGCACCATTCAACTATGTATTATTTTATACAGCTCCTTGTTATGCAGTTGAAAGTGCTTTCCCAGGATTAAAAAAAATGTTTTGCTCTTATGTCACTTTCATTATCACCTATAAGATCTCATCCTAATTATTCTTGACCAAGTTGCCCAGTGCAGTGCTTGAATTAAAGCAGTTCACTTGCCCTGTCACTTCCCATCACATGAGTATTTCCTATGCTGCATAAGACAATAAATGACAGTTTTTTATATCAGAGTGTAAAATTTTCAGTCTGATTCTGGTGTACATTTTCATAAGGATAACTATGATTATGTAATTTTAATTGACTATTTTTTATAATACACTTTATCTGCACAGAATTGTTACATTTTAAGGTAGCATTTTGCTGTATTGATATCTGTTTAAATTCAGTGACTTGACAGATCTAAGTAAGTGGATGAGTTGCAGACATGCTTATGGCAGTGGTACTGTGTGTGCTCCTTTCTGTGTGTGCAGTGACCTCTTCCTCTGCTTCATTAGGGAGACCTAGTGGGCAGATAGGAGCACTTCAAATGTTTGAACCATGCTACAGCCACTGCCAAGGAATCTTGGATAGTGTGTAGCTATCACTTTGAAACTTTCATTAAGTTTATCCTATTCACAAGAGTTCAAGTTATTGTCATTCTCTAATTTTTCACACCAGATAAAACTGGTATTTTTACATGCAACTTATTTTAAGTATTCCCAAATTTTATTTTAACAAGTTAAGGATATAATTGAAGGATTATTGACACAGATGTATACAATGAGTTTGAGGTTCTTGGTCTCTACAGTGGTACATATACCCATAGTGATTTTTCTATGTAATGCTATGGACCACACTTACCAGAACAGTATCTTGAATTAAGAAATAAAATATTATAATGTTGGAGCAAGGTGCTATATTGATACAAGGTGATAAAAACAATATCACTTTAAAATAATAGAGTACTAGTGATGTACTGTCTTATGATTTATCAGAAAGACATTAGTGCTGAAAGTAAAAGTGATTAGCATGTGATATTAAATTTATATTGAAAATTATAGTGAAGTTAATATAGATCATTTTAAATTTGTTTGTTTTTCTGATAGCCAGGGTAAATATAATGAATTCTTACAGTTTTTTAAATCCTTTTTTTACACTACATTGAAGCCATATCCTACTGAGGAATTAATAACATTGAGCAAAATTAGAGGAGACATTTGCTTTAACAAATGACCTCTATTTTCTGTTATAGACTCTTAAAGTGACCTAAAACAGTCAACTATGACATGGGAGGAAAACTATATCAAAAGACAAAAGTTTTAATATTTGTTATCAAATGTGTATATTCTCACAAATTTCAGTTCACATATTCAGTTTCCTCTTGTAATAATTTTAACACTTCAAATACTATATTTATGTGTCTTCAATACCTAATATATGGAATTTTCATGTCAATAAAAGTCAGTATATTATTGAATCATAGTAATTATAGTACACATATAATTTCTTATAATTTAACTAACATTTTCCTACTCGTATTTTATTTGTTGAATGAAAGACCTATTATTGGCACAAATATAGATTTAATGAATCATTATAAAGTATTTTCAAATCTTTGGACAACACTGAGAGCGGGAACCTGCCTTTCTAACACTGGATACTGTGAAGTTTTTCACACACAGTTCTTTGGAGTTCCCAATTATCTGATGGAAATGATTCTAACTTTTCTATTTAATTTCAATTTTGCTTTTCACTTACATGAAGGAAATTTTCATTTAAACTTTGCCCCTCAGTTTCATGCTTGAAAACACTGACATTTCTCTAACTAATCATAGTGAAAACTCCTAACTTTATGACTAGAGAGGTCAATATTTTCTTATAAAGTAAATAAAAAGTGAAGGGTATAACTTGAAGTTATTTTAAATGTCTACAATCTAGTTAATTATAAATATACCTCCATAAAACTATTTTAAGGTAAATATTCTTAAAAATTTTCCCTCTCATTATGAAATTAATATTTACTTAGTTTTACAATTTATTTTACTTGTCTTTCTATCCAACCTAAGGAATAGAGATTAATTAATACCATGACTAGATTAATTTAATGTATTCGCCTATAGAAGTTTTAATGAAAGTGCCTGGACTGGGGAGTTGAAAGCTCTGGGACCAACCTGGTAGAACATACAACCTACTTTGGGTCTGAAGGAAGTGGAAAGTTCAAGTACTTTTCCTGTCCCTAGTCATTAATGATTGACTGTCCTTGTTAGAAGAAAAATAAAATGATCTTCAATGAACTGTTTAAGAATTTATAGTTTATTATTCAAACATTGCCCTTTACATCCAAATATTTTTACAATACAAACAAAAAAGGCAACTATTACAGCCACACTTTAAAAGCGGTAAGAGGGAGCCTTTTCATGGGGATATTCTTATTTCTTCATATTTTTATCATTGTTAACAGTCTTTCTTTTGAGACCCTACACAGCTTTTAACTCTCATCCATTAAAAGGTATAAGGCCACATTCCTTCTTCTAACATCATGTGCATTGTCTGTGTACACCTCTTCTTTTCTCCATTTATATGGCTAATCAAAATTTGATGCTGTGTGATTTCTGCAATAGGAGTGTGATCACGCTCAGATGCAACAGAAAACAATATTATAGTTTGCAAAACGATTCAGCTCTTTACTCTTTTCTCGGTGCTGGGAACCTAAAGACTCATACATGCCAGCAAGCCTCTACATGGAGATACAACCTTTGCCAAACTTTTTATTATTATTGATGTTATTATTACTAATTGTTACTATTATTATTTAGTCACTGCAGGAGGTCTAACCCAATGACTACCCATGCTGGGAAATTATTTTACCACTGAGCTACATCCCCAGACCTATCCAAGCATTTTGCTAGTCACTAACCACAATGATTTTTGGATTTTTTCATAAATGTATTGATTTGTCTTTATTTCCTATCTTGTACTTAAATATGATTTTGCCTTTCACTGTGTACAACCTAATCTTGCCTGCTTGACACATTTTACAAACAGATCTTGGTTGAACTTTCCTTTATAGCCTAACCTTCTTTTAAAAACATCAATCCATAAAAATGGGTATACCAGAATAATTGGAGAAGTCTAAGATGGAGTCCCTAAGAACTGCTAGGAGCTAGGTCTTATACTATTTGTTTTATATGGAGTCGTTCATTATAAGCTCAAAAACTAGTACAGTAGCTATTTATTTTAGCTTTGCTTCCTTTGACACATGTGTGACAATTCTCTAATAGGTACAGATGTTGAGCTCTTTCTAAAATCTGTATTTATCATTCCTTTTTACACTAGTAGTAATAGCTTTTGGGTTGTTTGGATTTTTATCTTAAATATGGTTCTTAAAGAGTACAGGGTACCTTGTATTCTTAAAATAAAGTATGAAGACAAGTAAGGGATGTGAAAACCCACAACTAAACAGTAGTAGGTAAGAACAAATGATAAAAAAGGCATTTCATGGATGGAAGGGTGTTGTTGAGTAGGAAAGCAATGTACAAACAGGGATACAAATCCTGCCCATAGTTATTATAAAGTCAACAAAAGACCCCCATAGTGACACAAAGTAGAGCTTTCATTTGAACAGTACAAAAGGCTCACATAATCTATTGCAAGATAAATTACATTACATCTAAATAAGGCAAATTCCTTTCATAAAAATGGACATTTTATGGATTAATTAGCTTAACATTAAAAAAATTATTTTAGACTTGGCATTGATTTTCATCATTCTACTTGAGCTGAAATTTCAAGCTTTAATCATCCAAATAAATGCACAAAGGTCTATCCCAGTCCAGATGAAATTTTTAGTCTCCATGCTTCTCTAACTACCTTAAATTCTGACATGATTGTCATAAGTTTTGTCATAGTTGCTTTGAGTCACCGAAGCAGTTTAATTCCTGGTCTTAGTACATGTCTTAGACATATTTCCTACTTTTAGCTTTAGGCTACTACTCTGACTACACTCTATGTATTGTTCTTTGTGACTTCACCATATACTTGGTGTATATAAGCTCATAGATATGTTATGACACATTTAAAGAGAAGTAAATTTCCAGACATAAAGATAGAAGGTGGTAGGAAAGACTGTGTGGTTCTCTTCATCTTGTTCTCCTTTCCTTATCACTAACTATACAGTCCCTTGTCAGCGAGAATTAGGGGAAGTGGAATGTGTGGCCAGGTCACAGACCATGGCAGAGTCAGGCAATGATGAGTAGGTCATAATTCCTGTGCCCAACTTCAAACTGGGACAGAATACAAATACAGGTCAGAGACGGGATAGGAAGTTTCTGGGCAGCATTAGTGAAGTGTGGCCCAGAATGATAAGGGCTGAGTGCAGGTCTGCTTATGTATGCCAGGACAGTGATAAAAATGTTTATGTGTATATACCTTCAATTATCTTTGTTCTGCTGAAAGTAAACTATTTGTTTAAAATTATCAGAATGTGATTCTTCCTTCTGAGCATATGTGATTTTTGATTTTTTTCTATCTGCATTAAAAACATACTTGATTGTCTTCTATACTTTTTTGGAATCTGAGAGGACCCAAAGTTGTTGTATAATATTGTATAATATAGATTTTTTGAAAGTCAAAAACATCACTCTATAGTTAGGCAAAACCCTTAATATACATTCAGAGATTCTTTTCATTAAATGTTAATTCTGTGTAATTGAATATTGTTACATAAATATTTTAATAAGAATAATAACTTAGAAGTTATTACCACAATTAAAATTATACAAATTATTCTGAAAATCCATATTCATGTAAACAATTAGTAAGCCTTAGAGATCCTCAATCTTTCCTCTAACTCAAAAAAACTTTTGCTTCAGTACTAGCAACTAGCTTGATTTTGGGATGATGGAGCAATATTTAGTATTTTTCTATGATTCCATGAAATCGAAATTCAGTTGTTTGCAAGCCATTTTCAGATCAGAGGTTCATCAACTTATCTTCTAAGTTGTTAAGAATTTTCCATTGTTTTCTTTCCTCCTACCTTTACTTATTTTCTCACTCATTCTACAGTTTTTATGAATCTTTGTTATCAGTATTATTAATTTAAATATTTTACTATACCCATCTAAATTTTTAGCAACTGTTTTGCATTTCAAGGCAATGTGGATTATTGTCTAATCAACCACCATTTCACAGTTTAGTCTGGGTAATAGTCATGGTCTATGCTCCCTTTAGAACAGGAAAATTGTAGGGTTGAAGAATCTAAGTACACTAGTCACAAACACTCTCTTAATGGCAGTCTCCATCATGATTCAGAACTCTTACAATGACATAATTAAGAAAGATTAAACTCCTTTTATCTAAAAAGATTCTGCCTATTGTCAAATAGCTTTATATTAAGCAAAGTAGTTGTTAGCCACACAAGACAGATAGCCGATGGGACATAAGTGGTACTGTAGAGTACAGCATCTTATATAAGGCCATTTATAGAATTATCTTTTCCTCTTTATCTTTATTTTCCATATATGTGCGTATGTCACAATTCTTTAAACAAAAAGTCCCAACTTCTCTTTTATATTCACTTTGTTAACTTTGTTCTGGAACATCTAGGCACTTATATCAGAATCGGAGCCCACAGACTATAATTGTTAGAAATCCAGTATAGAATGCGTCTGTTTTGTGGATGTATGTAGTGGGCACCTACATTTTTCTGCAGTATTAAAAGTGTTTGGCTAGTCAGTGATAGCAGAACTTGATTCCAGTCAGCAGTCCAGACTTCAGAGAGGTCCAGCCTTGCAAGCGCCTCTTCTCTGACAGCACGTCTTTCACTTTAGACCTGCTCTAAAGCCTCCTATCTGGTTCTAGCTATTAATAGACTTCTTAATCTAGTACCAAGTCAAAAAGACAAACAAAAATCAGAAAATGAATGAATTTACATTTGAAATGTCTGATGTCCTAACAGAAATGGCAAAGACTTGGATGATAAATTTGGAAATATGTGTAAAGTGTCTCAATACATTAAACAGTGCCTGATGGAAAACAACTTCAATAGCATGTATGGGGTATCACTGATATTTCAGGAAGCACTACAAGCACCTTCCAAAATGAAGGTATTAGCACTTTCTCCAGAATGTCACACAGTAGGGAGATCTGGATAGGACATGGAGTTGTCAAGACACTCTAGAATGGTGAGAGGTGGATTAAAGAGTATTAATTTGAATATAATGAACAAGCATTTTAAAAATGAAGACACGTTGAGTCTGAATGAAATGAATCTATGTATATTTAAATCTAAATTGCCTATCTCTTAATAAACCACTTTGCTGAAAAATCAGGTCTTCCCAATTCAAGCCTGCTCATTTCCTGGTAGTCTGACTGACTTAGGCCATTTCCTTTCTCCAGTTGTTGAAAGGTTAGGGAATATTAATCATAAAACTTACTCTAAAGCCACAGGTATGAATAACAAATATATCAAAAATTAGGCAAATTTTAGTACTGGTATACCATATGATACTCAAAAATTGTCTTCTTTGGAGAAATATTACAAAAAATGACTTTAAAGACATAGTCCACGCTGTAGTATAGAATAACAGAAATTAGAATAGTTAGTGGAAAGGACCCAATTTAAAGTCATTAATTATAGATTTCAGAATATCACCTTGTGCTTGTATAGCACCTGCTGCTTCTTAGGCGGGAGAACAATGATGTGGGCTTTGTTTGTCTTCGTCCTTTTTGTTGTTTTCTGTTTGTTAGTTACTATTTTCATTTGTGAATCAACTATCAATATACAGTTGGCAGTAGGGAAGTTGTTAATATCACTTTATTTTACTAACTTGGCAATATGTTGAGACTATACGTGTCTGGAAATAAGCTTCAAACAGGTATTTTTTATGCTGATTTGAAAATACCAATTGCTTTCCAGTATTGGTTGCTAGAGCTGAGGTTTTGATTTTTGAATTATCAGGTTTTCCCACAGATGAAAAACAAAAATGTGATCAGGAACCTTTTCTTTCCCTCTACCTTTCCTCAGAAATCCTCTTTCCTCCTTTTCTTCTACATTTACATTCTACCTAAAGAAGAAAAGTGTTCCCAGTGTTTTCCCTGAATAGTCTCCTACACAAATAGAAATTTCAATATTTCCAATTGTAATGGAGCCTCTCAAATGAATCAGCTCAGCTTTTAAAGCCCTGTTTGGTGATTGCAACCATGACATACCACCACTGATTCAAAACTACTCATTCTTTTTCTTCAGGGAAAACAGATTATTCAAGCAGTTCTTCAGAATTTCCAGCCTTATTTACCAAACATGAAATCTAATATATTTGTTGCAAATGAAAATAATATTCCTGTTTTAAAATGAGTGTTTCTTTTGGACAGATTCATGCTCTAGATTCATTTTCATTTATTAACTTAGCTGATGAAGGGTCTTAAATATACTGGATTCTTCCAAGTCCTATTTGGCCACTGGGAATAAAACCATTCCCACTACTTTTTTTCCTGTATAAGTCTAACTAAACAGCTCTTATTTTGCCTGTATTATTAATGTTAAATCTAAATATTTGCTTGTACAGCTATTGTGTATAATAGATGTGCTAAGCAAATTGAAAATGAGTGAAACAAAAAGAATGAGTAAGTCCACTTTTATGGTTTGCTGATACTTGCTTTTCATTCATAGTCTTAGAATATAACTGGATTGTTGAGTTAAGCTTTAGAGTGATTATATTGAAACAAAATGCTAATGTACTATGAGACTTTTTAATGGACTATTTATCAAAGACAGCTACCTTAAAATTCTATTTTGTTTAAAAAGGTTTAATAGGGCACGTTTGGCTATATTTTAAAATTCATAAATAGAGGAGTGGAGAACTATATTACAGTTTATTATCATTAGGAGAATGAAAATAATGAACTAATAGCACATGCCTTTTAAGACTATCATGGTACATATCACAATTCAGTATGACAGTGTCTTTTCTGTTTTATATTCGTTTGTTACTTTACTAAATTCCCAAAAAGAAAAAAAAACAATTATTCATTTTGCTTTTCAAGAAATCAACAAATCTCTTTTTCAAATGTGGTCAGCACCTTTCGTCTTCACAACCTCCAGTGGAACTGCAAAATGATTTGCTTTCTGGGAAGGCAACTCTGGCATGCTTCTGGTTGTCATGCAGAGATTTCTTTCAAGTAGTGTGCACATACACGTTCAGTTCCACAGTTATGTTCACAACCATTGTTGCATTAGACATTTGTCCAAAGCTCAGGAGTTAGGGATGGGTAATTATAGCAAATTCTTTATTATAAATAATGAATGTATGTTCTGCATGAGCTATGTGGGGTTTCAATCCATTTGGTAAAATATAGCTGTATAATGATTGCTTGGATTTTATTACTGATGATTGATAGTGCAGAATGTTGGCAATGATTTAGATTATTGTTAGGATACCTTGAAATTATCAGTACAAGTGGTGATTTCTTCTCTTTTTCTGTGTGCTTGTCTAGTCTCGGCAGACACCTGAGGGTGAATTCCTTCCCCTTGACCAACTTGAACTGGATGTAGGTTTTAGTACAGGGGCAGATCAACTTTTTCTTGTGTCCCCTCTCACAATTTGCCACGTGATTGATGCCAAAAGCCCCTTTTATGACCTATCCCAGCGAAGCATGCAAACTGAACAATTCGAGGTTGTCGTCATCCTAGAAGGCATCGTGGAAACCACTGGTGAGTAAGAACATTGATGTACCGTCAAGTTTTTGATTTAGAATTCTCTACTATGTACCAGTACCTACAATAACTGGCCTAATGTCTCAATTTACAAGCATGAAAGTAAAGACATATCATTTAACACCCTGATCGCACAAAATAGATAGCACTTCAAAAATGAAGATTGTTGTTTTGGTGGTTATACACCTGGGTTACCAGTAATATTGATTAAAACTACTACTTCAAAAATGAAGGTTGTTGTTTTGGTGGTTACATACCTGGGCTACCAGAAATAATGATTAAAACTACTACTTCAAAAATGAAGATTGCTGTTTTGGTGGTTATATACTCGGGTTACCAGGAATAGTGATTAAAACTAAACTAAGCTGATATTTTAGAAATGAGTATGCTGTTCTTTTTTAATAACAAAGATTTCCTATAATCATGATTTTTCTTTCAAAATTTAAGGCTAAGAAATCTTTAGGGTAATTAGTCATCAGCCTGAACTCAATATGTGTTTTCTTGACTTGTGGTGGTAAAATGGAGGGCCGGGGGAGTTTATTGATAAAGCTCTGGCATCTACTTTGTGGAGCCTCACGGGAAAGTGTCCTCCATGTTTGTGTGTGCACACAGAAGCAACGCTATTGTTTCAGAGCAGAGCAGCAGTTCCCATAGCTAAATATTGACTATAGTTTTTCTTTCAAAACAGGATTTTTTTTCCTATTCAGTTTGATTAGTCTTTAAGCATCCAATGCCATTGGAATGCTCAAAAATAAATTTCTACTCTCTGAGGAAAGTTAGGCAGACAAAGAAAAGAATCAATAAATGTAAGTGTATTATTTGGGCCATAAATATTGCCAGTTATGTTTGAAGCCTGCTGAGTATTTGAGACTAATGATACATGATTATCCTCATAATTACTTATGTACATAAGCAAATAAACATTTATACAACTTGACTTTTACATGTTCTTCAGGTAATAAGAAGCAAGAAATATTTTAGTTTTTCCCCACTATTTTTTTTGGACCAATAACATCTTAATCTTGAAATGCTAACTGTTAAAGTATGGCAATATTGGAAATCACAGTGTCAAAAATATAAATTCAAGTTTCATTCTAGGGTGTCTCTGATTTCATTGTACCACTTTTCCAAGGAGTAGGCAGGTGGCTGCCGTTTTTTATATCTGTGGCATAGTGACTGTTTGAAATTAGACAAGGTACCATTTGTCTCTAAACTGCATCTTTCTCTTTATAGTGAGGTCATTGAATGACCAACTCACAACTGACCTTTGATATTGCCTTATTTATTAATGCTTAACTTAAAATTAAGATTTTTGAAAAGAAGTGACAAAAGATTTATTAAGTCAGAAATTTGACTTCTGTGTGTTTTGTGATTTGCACTCCTCACTCTGTCTTCACTTTAGAATCAAATAGTGTTAATATTTTCGTGAAATATGCTACTAAATAAGGAACCAATTTAAATTTACTTTGGATGTCAATTTTTGTATATCATTTATCACAATAAAATGTTATATTAGAGCTTAAAGAAAGGTACCCCAAATTTTACTTATTACTTATAATATGTGCTTTTTAAGTGATTATTAACATAATCATTGAGATAAGTGAATTTCTCTTTTTGTGTGGCAATCTTAAAAATCCTCCATTTTCACCATTACTTATGTAATTGTGTACTCATTCATCCATCTGATGTCTCACCCTAACCACTGGAATTTTTAAGCATGAAAACATTTCCCTACAAAATCAGTTTAAAGATGAAATATTTCCTTAGGGTTTTTTTTTTTTTTTTTTGGTGTGTGTGTGTGTGTGTGTGTGTGTGTGTGTGTGTGTGTGTGTGTGTGCATGCATGTGCATTTGAGATTTATTTTATCTTTAATTATGTAGAGGTGAGTTGGTGTATGTTTACATGTATGTGTGTGCATTCAGATGCCAGAAGATGGTTTCAGACCTTCTGGAGCTGGAGTTATAGGCAGTTGCGGGGCACATAACTGGATATTGGGAATGGTGTTAAGGTCCTTTGAAAGATCAGTAAATTCTTTTAGGTCCTGACTCATCTCTCCATCTCTTTATTTTGTGTTTCATGACCTCATTATGTTTGAAGAATCTAGACCAGGTTGTCTGTATATTAGTTCTATCTGTACCTGATTTTCACATACACATTAATTCTTTTGAGGTGTGTGTGTGTGTGTGTGTGTGTGTGTGTGTGTGTGTGTGTGTGTGTGTGTGTGTGTAATAATGCCTTTTGTTATTTTTTCTGCATCAGTATTTTAAGGGCGAATGCTGAAACACGTGACTTTGTAATTTCAGCTGTATTTCGGAGAATCATGATTAGTAAATGGTGCTGTGTAAGGTCAGATGGAATTTTACACCATCAATTATTCATTACTAGTATTGATTTTAGTTTGATGACATTCTTCACTCTTGCATTTTTATCCTGTCTGTTTTGATGAAAGTCAACTGGCAGAGAATACTTTGCACAGGTAATCTAAAACTTGGGTGGAGACTGAATTACTTACTTAGAGATTGCTTTTCATGGCAAAGAGCACACATTCTTCTTCCTTTTAAAAATCTCTTAATTAAGCAAAATACAAAGTGAAACCACTGCTTGTAACACATACTTTATGGAAAATTCATCTGATATTTCATTTATATACCCAGCACAGCTAATATAGTCTTACACTGTTCAAATTCTGTAAAACCTGGTTGTAGCCCTCATGTACTAGCTTGATCAAAATAGCACATTTTTGTTTCACTTGATCATTTAACAATTTTATTGAAATATACTCAGATTTCATCTTGAATAGTTTTTGCCCTGTATGCCTCCATCCATAATAAAAAACAATCTTTCTTATGGTATTAATTTTGGGGAACAAGGCAGATAGGTTCAGTATGATTCATGAGGCAAGAACATGATTCTTTTCCTATAGGTTTTGGGTATAGAGCCTTGGGTTGAACTTGTGCTTGGTATAACTTTCTATCATGTTTGAAATTAAAGAACCAACATTTGTGTTATTCATTAACTTACCATCTAAGTATTGAATGTTATGTGCTTGCAAGAATCTAAGGAACTAAAGGTATAATGGTGACTTAGACAGGACTGCTTTCTTCCCAGGGTTTATATTGTGACAGAGACATACAATAAATCACAAATAAGGAAAACGTTAGCATTGTCAAGAATTAAATAAAAGCAAACCAAAAACAAAACACTCCCCTCACCCCTCCCAA